CAGAGGCAGTTGGATCGATGTGAGTTCAAGGCCAGCCTGGTCTACAGAGTGAGCTCTAGGACAGGTACCAAAACTACACAGAGAAACTGTCTCAAAAAAAAAAAAAAAAAAAACAAAAACCAAAAAGATGAGTGCCAAGCCTGATGACCTGATCACAATCCCTAGATCACACCTGGTAAAAAGACTAAAGAAAGCTGTCCTCCACGTAAGGGTGGTGATGGCACATGTGCAGACATGTACATATAAGTATACATAATAAAATAAACAAATGCTAGAGAATTAAGGGGACATGAGACAACATCCATAAGAAGTTTCATCTGAATAAACTATCACACTAACACACACTAATATAACTGTCCACAGGTTTGGGACACAGCCTTACTTATTACATGCTCTACAACTGGCCTGGCTCAGTGAGTTACCTGTTCCTTCTCAAGGAAGAAGCTGGGAATGATGGGGTGCCTCAGTGGCTCATGAGTGTGTACCTGCCCCAAATGTGGGGCTACTGGCCTAGGCATTAAAGCCAGCCAAGCTGAGTCACCGCCAGGCTTATCATTGTATTACATTTATGTACTTACTGGGTGGGGGAAGGACAGCACTTCATGTCTTGGCTGTGCATGGAGGTCAGAGGACAACTTGTGCGAGCCAATCCTCCCCTTCTACCACATTTCTGAGGATTGACCTCAAGTCACCAGGCTTGGTGGCAAGGTCCTTTACCTACTGAGTCATTTCTGCTGTCCCCAAACTAAAGTCTTTCACCTAATCATAGGGGTAATCAGTCACTGGATGCTCGTCATTGTTATTCAGAGTCTGGGGGGCAGGTAACTTAGTACCAAGTGAGAGGACTGGGAGGTGACAAGAGAGTCACAGGACTCCAGAAGATACCCAGAGAGGCTTGGTCTGGTCAGGATGTGGCTTCAGGGTCTGCAGCCATTTTCCTGTTCTGTGGTTGGGCCGGAGGGTTCCGGCCACATGACCTTCTGTACATGCTAAGATGATCTTTAAAAGTTCATGGGGCTGGAGAGATGGCTCAGTAACAGTTAAGAACACTGGATGCTCCCCCAGAGGAGCCAGCATAATTCCCAGCACCCACACGGTGGCTCCCAACCGCCTGTAACTCCAGTTCCTGGGGAACAAACTCAAGTCCATCAGGCTTGGCAGCCAGAGCCTGTACCCACTGAACCACCTTACCAGCAGCCCCCCTTTGTTTTTAAACACTGCCTTTCCACTGGGGGTGAAAAAAAGCAGTTGTGGTGCACATCTTTAATCCTAGGATTGGGGAGGAAGAGGCAGGTGGATCTCTGAGAGTTCATGGCCAGCCTGGTCTACAGAGCAATTTCCAGGACAACCGGCTACACAGAGAAACCCTGTCTTGAAAAACAAAACAAAAAAAAAAACCAAAACCAAAACAAACAAACAAACAAAAAGCTGGCCTAGAACTTGCTATGTAGACCAGGCCCTGAACTTGTGAGGCCCTCTTGCCTATGTCTCTTAAGTGCTAGGGTTACAGGAATCTACCATCATATCCATATCCAGCTTGTTTCAAATTTTCATGAGTCTCTTGCAAAGGCTAGAGAGCCAGGTGTAGTGGATCATTCCTGGCATCCCAGGACTTGGAAGGCTAACACAGGAGGATGGTGGGAACTTTAAGATCAGTTTGGGCTAGCTACATAGTAAGTTTGAAGCTAGTCTGAGCTACTGGAGCTCCCATCTCAAAAACAAGCAACCCAAAGATTAAGGCTTGGGGAGGGCAGTCAGACTGGACACTGAAGAAAGGCTGCAAAAGCTGGAGGGCCAGGATCTGAAACCTCCTGGCAGGGTGCTCAGGAGCTGTGCTGAGATGATGACAACACATGAAATGATCTGGCAGCTTAATTGGTTATCTTTTGGGGACAGGATCTTCCAATGTAGACCAGGCTAGACTTGAACCCACAATCCTCCTGCCTGTTTCCCAAGGACTACAGGACACCAAGCCTAACAGATTATGAATTTCTGTAAAGTAATTAATTTTGGACTTCAATTCTTTTGAACTTCAAAGGAATTTAGTCCATGTTTAAATTTTCCCTGGGAATTTGAAAATGGAGAGTGTTCATTCACATTCAAGTTTGGAATAAAGTACACTATTTGTACCTCATTCAAAGTTTTTTTCCTTCAGTGCTGGTGTTCAAACCCAGGGCCTCACATAAGCTAAGTATGCACACCACCAGTTCTACCAATTACCACAGTATTTTTTTATGCATCTTCTGGCCATGTTACCATTTTACCCCATTTTAGAACACCTGTCTTGCTATATAGGACAAAACTAGCCAGACCTACTTTTGAGTGGAAAACAACTGTTAGCCTTGGGTCCAGAAGAGCCCAAGTTTATCTAATTAACCATGACTCAGGCAAACACAAATGAGCAGTGGTTGGGGCTGAGTCGGAGGAGCTCCTAAAGGTGGAAACTGGGTTTTCCTGTCAGATCACCATGATCTTGGTTAAGCACAGGTTCCATGGGAAGGATGGAGGAAGGAAGGCACAAGACCGAGCAAGAGATCGTGTCAGAGGCAAGGATTTGCCCTGTTTTGAGTTTTTAGGAGCACACGGTCCCTGGGAGACAACTAACTTATAGGACCAATATATCTACAAAGGCCCAGTGGCTCAACTCTTCTGGAAGCTGGAGCTACCGGAGGTGTGCATGCCCTTTTGCTTTTTCCAGAGTGAAGCCCCATCTGAGGGGCCAGACTAGCTGTGGCACTGTGGGTGCCTGACCCTGACAATTTCAGGGACTTGGCTAGATATGGTCCCTCTGCCTCTCACATGTGGCTTCCAGTTCAGGTTACCAGCACCAATGTCAATGATCTGACATAAGGGGGTGGAGCTTTGCCCTCCTTACAGACCCAGGAGCATACAGACTGACCTTGCCTTCCTAAGACATCAAACCCAGAAAACTGTACCTGAGTCAAGCTCCATGTCAGCAGGGGAGGCTGCCGAGCTGCCTTCCTTCCTGTGCTTCTTTGGACTGCTAGGGCTGGACTGAGACGAAGACCGCTTGCTGCCAGACTTCACGCTCGGCTAACGGAGTAACCAAGAGGAACACAAGTCACACAAGGCAGACAGAGAACCTCTAACCCATACCTAATCCAGTCTCGACCCAAGCAATTGCTGAAAGGGCTCCTATTCAGCAGCCTCTTTATCAATCAGATACCAGTGTTTACAATATAAACCAAAAAGTAAGATACTAATGAGCCATAAAATCTCATGGTCACAAACGTTTACCAACTACACCCTTCAAATCTATATCCTGAGGCTAGGAATGTAGTTCAGTGGTAGAGTGCTTGCCTAGCACATCTGAGGTCCTAGGTTTAATTCCCAGTATCACACACACGCACACACAATCTGTTTACCGACTGGATGTTAGAAGTAAGGTAACTGGCGAACACATCCTTCTGTTGACATGCCTGCATTGGTATGGAACCAAACATTCTCCACTCCTAATGTGGAAAAAACAGGATGAATGGATTTGGAAAACATCACCTTTTAGAGATTTTGCTCCTAGCACTCAAGAGGATGAGGCTAAGGGTCACTGCAAATCCCATGCCAGATTGGGCCACACAGCAACTTCAAAGTTTTTCAGAGTTACTGTGAGATTCCATCTCAACAACACCCCCCCCCCCAAAAAAAAAAGCTCTAAAACAGAAATGTCAAATAAAATCCATTACTTTGCATGCAAACTAGAAAATAATAATAAAACTGTAAAACTAGACTAAAGGGCACACTCTTGGATCCCAGGACATGGAAGAGGCAGAAGGAACATCACTACATCATTCAACACCTCAAACAAGACAGGTGGCACATGCCTTTAAACCTAGTAATCAGCAGGCAGAGGCAGGCGGTTATTTGTGAGTTCAAGGCCAGCCTGGTCTACAGAGTGAGCTCCAAGACAGCCAGGACTACACAAAAAAGCCCTGTCTCATAGATCCACCTTCCTCTATCTGTCAACGTGCTAGGATTAAAGGCATGTTATCATACAACACCACACTGCAGAAATGCTCTTCTGAGGTGCAGACTCCAGCTGAGCTTGTTGTAGAGTTAGGATTATAGAGCTAACAACCGACTTTTGCTCCTCTGCTTAGATCTAGTGTCAGAAAACCCCACAGCTTTCACATCTACAGTTTTACACTTAGTGTTCTAACTAGTAAGAGGATCCAAGGTTGGCATTAGCTTAGTGACAGTGTGGCACTAGCACATAAGAGGTTCTGAGTTCAATTTCCAGTACTGAAAAATGTAAGTTAGAAAGCTCCACTTAGGATCTGGGAGAGTTGCAGCACAAGCCTGATAACCTGAGTCTGATTCCCAGACTGTCCATCAGAGCCAGATGCATGTACATCTGTAATCCTAGCATCTGGGAGTAGAGGAAGGACGATCAGGCCAGCCTGTAACACGAGACCTGTCTAACAAATTCAAACACGTCAGTAAACTTCACTTTCCCTCCACTTCTCAAGTGCTATGATTACACATGTGTGCCATCAGGTCCAGCTACGAATTCACTCACTTCTAAAGTAACAAACTGCTACATACATTAGTATTTTGGAAAATTTTTAATATAACTATCATATTTCAGAAGAAAAATTTTAAAATGTATACTTACATCTGGAATACCTCTGGGAGTAGATATATTAAAACCTGGATAGTTTACCAATTTTGAGACATCATAAGTGACATTTTTACTTTGTATTTCTCCAGTTTCTGTTTCCCCATCAGCATCATCTATTAGAGACCAGAGAAAATGTTAACAAGGCTAGACACTAAACATGTCCTGCCTCCGCGCTCCCCAACATCAAACCACACAAGGAAAGTGCTGAGATACCGTATCAGAATTAGTCTAGAAATAATTATCATTTCCCTGAACCATACAACTTTTAAACAGGCTCCAAGCATGGCAACCTGTGATCCCAACATTTAGAAGGCTAAGGCAGGAGTTCAAGGCCAACTTTAACTCACAACAAGTTCCAGGACAGCCTGGGATACAAATTATGTCTCAAAAATTAAAAAAGATTTAGCCAGATGGTAGTGGCACATGCATTTTTTTTTTTTTTTTTTTTTTGTTGTTGTTGTTTTTCGAGACAGGGTTTCTCTGTGTAGCTTTGCGCCTTTCCTGGAACTCACTTGGTAGCCCAGGCTGGCCTCGAACTCACAGAGATCCGCCTGGCTCTGCCTCTTGAGTGCTGGGATTAAAGGCGTGCGCCACCACTGCCCGGCAAATCTTTTTTTTTTTTAAGACAGGATTTTGCTAAGGCGACCAAGCTGGCTTCAAACTCACTGAGATCTGCCTGCCTCTGCCTCCCAAATGTTGGCTTAAAGGCTTGGCTAATAATCTTAATTTAAAAAGGGGTGAGTGGGGGCTAGAGATGGCTCAGTGGTTAAGAGCACTGGCTGTTCTTCCAGAAATCCTGAGTTCAATTTCCAGCAACCACATGGTGGCTCACAACCATCTACAATGGGATCAGACACCTTCTTATCTCTGAGGCTCTCTTCTCTCATGCAGGTACTACACCCAAGTAGAGCACTCATATACATAAATGAATAAATCTTAAAAAAGAAAAAAAAAGGTGGGGTGAGTGGGGGACCCGTAAACTGACTTCTCTTTCCTAACATACAGTACCATTTCCATCATAGAGTGCGAGCCCTGAGTTCTCCAGTTCAGCCTCCTTGAGCCAGCCTGGAGGGTAGCCCAGCTGGCGCATCCGGTAGATGAAGGGGGGAAGACTCTTGTCCGTCACACCCAGTGCATCCTGAAGTTCCTCACTGAGCAAAACAGAGGAGGAAAGATGATGAATTCAGATTTGCACAAAACCACTATTTTGGCATCTTTCTTTTTTTCAAGTATTATTATCATTTTTTTTTTCATGTGTGTGAGTGTTTGTGTCTGTATGTGTGCCTGTGCAACATGTATCCACCTGGTGCCCATGGAGGGCAGAAGAGAATGTCAGATCCCCGGGAATTGGAATTACAGATAGGGTTCTGAGCCATCCTGTGAGTGCTAGGAATCAAACCTGGGTCCTCAGGAAGAACAGTCAGTGCTCTGAACCTCCAAGCCATCTCTCAAAACCTGTATTATTCTTAAGGGCTCTTACTCTGTAGCCAGGCTCACATAGAACTTAAGGGGATCATCCTTCTTCAGCCACCCAAGTTCTGGGATCACAGGCATGAGCCACCATGCCTGGCTAAAACATTTCTGCCCTGTACTTCATAGTATGAAGTATGATACATACCAAGCACACAGTAAGCCTTTGATAAGTGGGTTTGAATGAATGGATGCATTCTGTACAGACTTGTTATAGCTTGCTTACATTCTTTTCTATTTGTTTTTCGTTATTCGAGACAGGGTTTCTCTGTGTAGACCAGACTGGCCTCGAACTCACAGATCTGCACACCACCACCTGGTCACTCTTACATGCTTGTAATCCCCACAAGAAACACAGAAGGTTCTAAATACTAAGAAAATGAAAAGTGACACCACACGGTAAAACAACAGTGGTACCTGATAACTCCTGGCTTGAATCGTCCAAATCTCTCTTCTACTTCTTCTGCATGATATCGCTGCTGAAAACTCTGACTGTTTGCCTCACCACAGGCATCCATATACTCTTTCCTCTTTTCACTTATTCGAGCAGCATTCCGAGGCTAAATCATAATAATGTTCGAGTAATTTAGAAATATCTGAGAAATTTACTGAGAATACTCATCACTTTTTAAAAGGTAAAGCATAGATTGCTATAGTTTTAATGTAGATTAGATGCATAAAAGTGGGCAGACATTTTTGAAAATCAAGCACTTTTGAAAATCAAACAAGAACAGTCACTTTAACTACTTATTATTTTAGTGTTATCAGAACCCAGAATTAACTTTTTAAAATAAACTGTCTAAAATTAACTCATGCTTCATTCACCTCAACTAGAGTATTCTGTCACTGTCTGAAACATAAACAGGAGTTTGGAAAGACTGAAGTACAAACGAGTGCAGCAGCACAGGAAGTTCATGCACGTTACCCAGAGCCACCCACGCACAAAACCTCCACCAGCTCCTGTTCAAAGACACTCTGCTTAGAGAGAGATTTACCATTGGGCACTCCTTCATCTGATGCTCTTCAGAACCACAATTGAAACAGTGAGGCTTTGGTCTATTGGGTCAGAACACAAAACACAACAGAAATCCACGGGTTTTCATAATGTCAATGGAAATGGAGAAGCAAATCAATACATTCTAGATGCCAGCAGAGTGCCAGAGACAGCAGCAGGCGAGGCCTCGCACCGTGTCTGCAATTGTTGAGCACAGCAATGTGTCTGCACTCAGTTACATAAACAGCACTGTGTACACAGTCTTTTAACCAAGAACCAGCCTGCTCCAGATTGGTATGTTACCTCTCAACTTTTTCCAGCGGCTACTAACAGAAGAACCAAAGCAAACAGAGCATCAGCTTTCCTTCAGGTAACACGGGAAGAAGGCGGATGGTTCTAAGACCGTAACTACACTGACAATAATAACGACTTGTTTCCACCCTCCCAGGCACTGGGCCTGAATTCCAAGAAATGGATGATCAATTTAAACAGTTAACACATATCTCCTGATATCAGGACTCTAGCTCAATGTGTAATTTGTATCAAGCCAGCGATAAAGAATATTAACTTTTAAGAGGTGACAAAGAGTTTATGGTTCTGGTATTGGAAAACAAAGAGTAAAACAAGACAAGGCCCCACACAAACCTTTTTGCCTTTACTTGCATTTCTTGCCCTTCTAGAGAAACAATGTGGCTGAAGACTTGCTGGTACCTTTAGTGAATTTTATTAAGGAATAGTTATCATGGTCTGCAAAATTTGGTAAGCTTTTTTTTTAAAGGTGAACTTAGTGGCAAGATGCATAAAAGATCTTCATTCACTATGTAGGATACTTGGGTATTTCCCATCCTTCCGTAAGCTGAGGGTTTTCATTTAGTAGCGGTTGCCCCAATTTATCAAGGCAAAAATTAGTAAAATACAGGACACTTCCTACAACCTGCAGAAAACAAGTCAAAAAATATCGCTATTTAAGCAGAAAAAAAGACATTAGGTAATGTAAGTCTATGATAATGTAAGTCTATGATTACCCATTAACAGTTTGACTCTGGATGAAGCTATGAGAAATAAAGTCCTAAATGGGAGCTGGACCCTGGTGTGCAAATAAAGCGGCACCTGAACTTTCACTGCTATCATTAGTACTATAGACCGTTGGTTCTGTCTCAACCAGGTCCTGACTCTCACAGGTCCCTCCAGTACTTCATGTATTTGCAGCAAGACCCTCACAGGCTGCATTTACTGTTTCTAGTTCCTTGGTTAGCATTTACTTGGTCTCCTACTGAGTTCTTGCAGCCATTTCTTATAGACAGGTTGAAAACACAGTACAATGAATATTCATGCATCCTGTACCTAGACTGAATAAATAATGACTGAAATGTTTCTGTGCAAGACTCTCTTCAGGTATATACATACACACATACTCTTTACCTGACCATTTAAGTCAGTTGCAGACAGAGTAACACTTACCTTAAATGCTTCAGTATGAACTAAGAATATTTTCCTGCAAATCAACAGTAACTCTCTAGTATCACCTATATCAACTCAACATTCAAGTTTCTCTATCTCCGAAATGCGTTTTATAGTTTTTCTGCCCCAAGCCAGGACTGATGAAGGTTCCTATGTTGTATTGGGTTTTCTCTGGAGCATGCCCCTGCCAGTGTCTCTAGAACCCTCCCAGGAACGCTGCACCCCATCACACCGGCTGGAGGAGGGAGCTACGGACTGCTCTGCAGCCTAGTCCTTGGGCAACGGTCAAACTTCATCGCTCAACCTGTCAGCAAGGAGGAATCACAGCTGACTCCTCCTTCCTTCCAGAAACATCTTCCATCCTTGGAAGGCTTTTAGGATGCCACTCTCAGTTCTGCCCCCAGGTCTCTCTCATCTCCCCATGCTGCCGATCCTTAGACATCTCCTCCACTCTCACTTCTGAGGTGACTAACTCAGATGTAGGGTATGAGAAATAATTTCTGTGCTGATGACCCCCGCCAAGTACGTTCTGATCCCTTAGCTCCAGTTTTGGATATTCAAATGCCAACATGACACCTCTTTCTGGACATGTAAGGTATCTCAAACTCACCTATTTAAAATGGCACTGGCAGCCGGGTAAGATGACACCTGCCTCCAATCCCAGCATTGGGAGGCTGAGACAGGAGGACCATAGTTCGAGGCCAGCCTGGGATACACAGTGAGACTGTCTTAAAAACAACAACAAAACCCAAATAAATAAGTAAAAAAAAAAAAAAAAAACAACCAACTCCCAGCCCCTCCAAACCTGCTCCTTTCCCATGCTTCCCACTTCCCATGGCCAAGGCCTGAGGTCTTCTGACTGTTCTCTCAGGAGCTCTCTTATTCTACACCTACTCGTGAACACATTTGATTGGTTTCACGGCCAAGTATATCCAGATTTCAGCCAGGTATCATCGTAACTACCACACTGGCCTCAGTTATGCTTTCTCTTGCTTGAGGTTAACACAACAGCTTTCTAACTGGCTGCAGACCCTAAGCAGACCAGGGGCCGACTACTTTCCACAAAGAACCTGATTCCTTCCATTAAGATGTAGCATGTCACTTTTTTACTTATGATCCTTAAATGGTTTCTTAGACTATAATCTGAAGTTTCCATTATGGCCTATAAAGGAATATAAGGATGCAGATCACTTGGCTCTGTCACCTGACTACTGGTGAGTCTCTTAGCTTTCCACGTGTTTCCTTTTTAATCAAATGGCAAGAATATTACCTCCACCTGTATCACCCTTAACTGGCTCCCAAGAGATATACCAGTACTGGCTGCTGGCATCTCCTTCCCTTTCCTATTTATTGAGCCCTCTTCATTCAGAATACAGCCTCAAATTCTCTGTCAACTCATCCAGATCTTGGCCCACACAGGTAGTCCCCAACAACTCACTATACAAACCACCCACTTCCAGGACTTGCATCACTCCGCTCCCTGCTATCCCACAACTGAATTCAGGGCCTTCCACATGCGAGGCAAGTAAGCGCCCCAAACTGCAGCCCCAGCCCCAGGCATTTCTTCACCTATTTTAAGGTAGAATTTCACTAAGCTACCTAGGCTGCCCATCAATATCTCTCTCTCTCTCTCTCTCTCTCTCTCTCTCTCTCTCTCTCTCTCTCTCTCTCATACACACACACCTATATACTACTGGGGAATTGAACCCAGGGCCTCACAAGCTAGGCAAGTACATAACTACTGGCCTATGCCCCAATCTTACTTTTCTTAGGAATTCAACCTTCTCCCATTCACCTGCTCATTAAACCAGAGCTGGCCTAGACCCTTTCTTTTTATTGCTGTTTCTGAAACTTCTGTGCTCCTGGCACAGAGCAGCATTCAGTCAACACCAGTACTGTCTAAAGAAGTAAAGCAATAACTATAAAACTGCCCTTCTAGACAAACATTACTTTAATTCCATAGCCTTTCAGTGGAAAGGAAAATGAAAGTTAACTAGCTGAGTTCAGAAATCCTTCTTGAAGCTAAATGTGGCTAACACCTGTAAATTCAGCACTTCAAAGGCCGAGGCAGGAGAACTGCTGTGAGCCTGAGGATAGTCTGGACTACAGAGAGAGTTCTTGTCTCATGAACAAACAGTCTGTGCAGGTGAGATGGCTCCAACGCCAAGCCTGACAACTGGAGGTCCATATTCAGGACCCACAGGCGGATGGAGAAGAACCAACTCCAGAAAACAGTCCTCTGACTTCCACACATGCACCACAGCACATGCATGTTTGCATGCATACATACAAACACATAAATTTCATTTAAAAATAAAAACCAAACCATAAACAAAGAACAAGAAATAAAAAACTTGGAAATATTCTTGATAGGGCCAGGTGATGGTGGTGCATGCATTTAATCCTAGCACTCGGGAGGCAGAGGCAGGCGGATCTCTGAGTTCAGGGACAACCTGGTCTACAGATCAAGTTCCAGGACAGTCAGGGCTACAAAAGCCTGTCTCAAAATATAAATAAAATATTCTTGATAGCATCCCTTATTGTTATTTTACTCAAATAACCTAGATTTTCCCCTCTCTCTGATGCAAATTTCTGACTTTCCCCCATGTGGAAAGGGTTCATTATAATGAGAGAGAGAGAGAGAGAGAGAGAGAGAGAGAGAGAGAGAGAGAGAGAGAAGAGAAGAGAAGAGAAGAGAAGAGAAGAG